TTAGGGTTTTAGGATTCGGAGGTTTAGGGTTTTAGGAGTCGGAGGTTTAGGGTTTTAGGATTCGGAGGTTTAGAGCTATGGGGTTCGGAGGGCAAGGGAGTCACAAGAAAACGAAACATGGAAACGCGAGGGGTCTTTCAGGTATAGGGTTCGGGGGCCTTTCAGATTGAGGGTTTAGGGTGAAGGGGCCGTTCGGATTCAGGGTTTCGGCTTAGGGATGTGCCTCGCCATACAAAGGAACACGAAAGGAGTTCTGATTTAACACAGCCTCCTTAACCCCCAACCCTTGGCATTGTTGGACTGCGAAAATGCAGTGGCCCGGAAATTCCGCTTTGGGTGTTGTGTTGGTGTGATGATCACGTGTAATTATAGTCATAGAGACGCCCCTATTCAAGGGCCATGCTGCTAACGGGATACCAGTAGATTACTTTTGCTTAGTTGCTGAGTTCATAAGCCCCAAAAAGTGTACACTTTCAGTTCTGTAAGGGATCATATTAACACAAAAAAATGTAAAGTGTACTCACTCAGCTACTAAGTTTGGGTTCTTAACAACTAAGAGTAGGGTTGAGGGGGGGATATTTATTAATTGTACTAAAGCTGCAATAAGGATCCCCACCACAGTATCGGTGGCTATTTAGGCCCCTAAAGGAAGCCAAAGAGGCACCTGAAGGGAAGCATCGTAGTTCGGGGCTATTGGTGGGGGGCCTTTACGGGAAACTCCAGAAACAACTCTGGCTGTGACAGCTTCGGGTTCAAATTATAGGGGCCTTCATAATTAGAATAGGGGCCTTCATAATTAGAATAGGGTTCTGACTTCTTTAGAATATAACCATAATAAGGAACCCTGAGAACAAGATTGGTAATTACTTAGGCTGCTACATGAGGGGTTTATAAAGATCACTACGCCAAGGAGGCGGGGTCGTGCTCGGTCTGGCATCCGTGTCTAGAGTCTAGGTGCTTATGCAGAGAACTACCTTGCTCAAAACGCTACTCCTACAGCTCCAAGACGAATGAAGTATATACTTAGGCAGAGGGTCCACGCATTCTACCATTATGGAATTAAGTCCGAAAAGATCTGTCCTCATTACGGTTTCGGGGACCTAATTTCAAAAAAAAGTAGTATATATGGTCATGGTCCCTCTGGGATACTTCTGCAAAGAATACCACATACCCGAATCCTCCAAGTGGGGTACTAGGGTCGGAACTGGAATTCTGCGATTGGTGCCGCCATACCTACTTGGTGTCTGATTTCAGGCTCGCCGTTTAGGAATGGGTTTTGAAACTTCTGTGCCGAGAGAGAACTACCATATCACGAGGTTCGTAAGCCCTTATATCTTTAGGGTGTCGGGCTTGGTGGGTTTAGGGTCTAGGGTTTAGGGCCTAGGGTAACACCGAGGACAAGATTTCAGCTCCAAAAACCCGAACTGGACTCACCCAAACCCTAAACCCTAAACCCTAAACCCTAAACCCCTAGACTCACCCAAACCCTAAACCCTAAACCCATCGATCCCAAAAGCCTGGGGTCAATCCGAGACTCTTGACCCCACATCCCAAACCCTAGCAACGAAATCCCTGACTTTGACCCTCAAGTCAAGGGGTTTAAGATTTTGAGTTTAGGGTTTAGGGTCTAAGCCCTAAACTCAAAATCTTAAACCCCTAAACTTGGCCCTAAACCCCTGAACCCTTAGCTAATCGGGAGGGCTTGTCGAGTTTAGGGTTTAGGGTTTCTAATCCCACGGTTTAGGGTCTATCTGCACTTATGAACCCAACGCGTTTCGGGTTTTTATGCCCTTCCGAATGCACGGCAGAGTTTCTCTTGAGCTTCCGGTGGCAAACTGCAGTAAACGCTGCGCGGCAGCGACCTGCACAACAAGGGCGCCGGTTGATTTACGGCTTACAAGTTTACTGTAGGGGGAGGCTGCTTGATCAATCTAGTAACCTCCCTTCATATCGCCATTTTCGGGTTCAGGTTTTCGGGTTTAGCTTAGCGTCTAGAGGCTATCATGAAGATACGACGAACTCAAGCTCGGACGACACAACTTTTATGCTGTTGTTGCTATATAGGCAGACCAAGTAAATGTTCGTATATCTACAACTCCAACAGGACTACTTGCATCTACTTCCGAACCTCAGCCAACCTTGTTACAATTTCTGTAGGGGCCTGAACATGTAGAAAGGGGGTTCAAGGGTACATTAGAGTAAAATGCTATAGTGGGGAAAAAGTGGAAACTATTAATGACTACTGCTATCTCTTATGTTGCCCATGAACCCTCAAGCAACTGGTTGAAGGAGCCTGGGACTTAGTACCCAAGTTTATAGATAAGGTCACTATGCTAATTATTAATGTAGCCCCCAACTAAGCTACTTCTGACAGTACCTACTAATTCCCAAGGTCCTCCAGGTCGACCCAAATCCTAAAGCCCGAAACCCAAAGCTGCAGCTGCATGTTCTATTTTAGGACTCGGTCCCATAAAGGATACGGGTTTAGGGTTTAGGGTTCATGTTCTAAACCCTAAACCCTAAACCCTAAACCCTAAACCCTAAACCCTAAACCCTAAGAATTCGGTCCCACAAAGGATATCCAGGCATCTCACGGGGGAGAGCTCAATGTCCGAATCTGGATCAGAGTGCTGGTTTGGGGTTTAGGGTTTAGGGTTTAGGGTTTAGGGTTTAGGGGTTTGCTATGAGGCTTTCTAGCACTAAACCCTAAACCCTAAACCCCTAAACCCTAAAATCCTAAACCCCTAAACCCCTAAACCCTAAACCTTAACCCGTGCTTGCAGGGTTTAAGATTGTTTGGGTTGAAGGTGTAAGGTCTTGGGCTATACTTGGAGGTTCATGGGTAGTTATAAGTAGGGTTAGAAGTCCCCTAATTTGGGTTATAACTACAGTTACCCTAGGTTTAGACAACTTCAAGTGAAACCTAAGCACCCGACACCGCGAAAACCGTGACTCCTTGTACCCTGCATCAAACAACTTGTACCATGCCTCTCTTGCAATGGTTCTGAGAGAGGTTCGTACCTCGGGGGATTCCGCTTTACTGCGTGAGGACGGGGTTCAGGCTTCCCGCGGAACTTTAGATGGGGCACAGGGTTTGAAACGGTTTAGGGCCTCAGGGTTTAGGGTTGTAGGGGTTTGGGATGTTAGGGTTTAGGGTTCCAGGGCTTGGGGTCTACACTTCGGATATAAGTCTTGCTTTGTCTCGTGCACTCCTCCCGAAGAGTCAACTTGCTTGGATTCCGGAATACGATAGTTTGTAATGCTTTACTTGCTGATCTTGCTTCTTTTTTAGGTGCTAGAGGAGCCAGAAAGCATGCCACCGTCCAACGGTGCAGGGTTTATGCTTTCGAAGTAAAACAAACAGACGTTCGTACATGCATGCATCCATGCATGGATACATACATACATACATCCATACATACATAATTACAGACAGACAGACAGACAGACAGACAGCCAGCCAGGCAGGCAGGCAGGCAGGCAGGCAGGCAGGCAGGCAGGCAGACAGACAAACATATATATATATATACATATCTGTAGACATACATACATAGATACATACATACATAATATATACATACATACATACATACATACATACATACATACATACATACATACACTCAGAAAATCAGTGGGATCCCTTTTCCTCAACAGAGCCCAAGCGCGCTCCGGAGTAAGCTGTCAGATATGCATGACGGGCAAAGGACGGTTCACACAACTTCACTCCGCTCTTGTTCTGTCGCTTACTGTGTAGATCTCAGGAAACAACTGCTCTTTCGGAGTATTGTAGGAGCAGTAAGAGCATGGAGCAACCGTGCGAACACTAGAAGCTTGCTTCAGCTGACCGCATTGCGGACTGCGGTGCCAGCACCTTGAGTGCGGGGCAAAAGACACTGAGCAACCAGCTGGACAAGTCTCGTAGTGATCTTTGATCCTTTCCAGCAAACTTTTGCGTCGCCCCTCACTCTCACGAAGTCGATGGCGAAGCTCGCTCAGCTCGTTGACATTCGAAGGTTGTGAAAGCATACCTTCCAAGTCGCGAATTCTCTCATCACGCATCTTCAACTCGTTGATGTTGCGCCGGTTCTCGACGATCGTGTTGATGCACACCGTGTCCGTCTGCGTAGACGTAGAAGTCGTGGAAGTTCTCGTAGAGCATGAAGAAGAACTGGTACTGAAAGTAGATGACAGGAATTGCCATACACCTCTTCCGCCATGGATCAACATTCTTTCCATGAAGATGATGATCGCCACAGTGACGAAGCAGAAGATAACCATGTCGCCGTCAAGCATGTAGCTGGTAGAAGGCGCCGTGGTCGGTGTTGACGAAGAGGTCGAGGTAGCTTGACCTGCCACAATCTGGGATAGCATCACCGTTGTGAACAGAAACGCCTTGGTAGTCCTCTTTGATGCCATCGCCAGGAGCACCATGAAGTTCTTGACCAGGTTCTCGTCCGTCTCCAGGATGGTGTCCTCGTCGTAGTCATGTAGAACAGGTAGTCGACGAAATAGTAGAGGATGTCCTTCTTCATTCCAGAACTGAACCAAACCACAAGACATCAAGAAAAGCAGTGGTGGAGCAATCATAGGCTTTGTCAATGCATCCGCGGTCATACTTTGTGTTGGAACCAGGATCATCCACCTGATCCGTCCACATATGCGTGCTTCCTTGTGCGCCAGGATGTAAAGCCTTTGACCTTTGTCTTGAGGAAGTGAGCGTTCCCCCGTAGTGAGCTCGAAGAAGTCGCGGCAGTCTGTCAGGCAATCCACTGGAAGCATAGGGTTGCCATTCTCCTGAATCTCCGTGAGGTCCTTGAGAGTGGGCTGTCCCTTCGGGTAGTAGAGCTCGGACAGCCTGATCGTTACCAACGACACTGTCTCCAAGCCGCCAATAGCTGCAAGAGTCTCAGCATGAGAAGTGCTGTATGAGACCCGCTTGGCCTTGGCACCATGAGACCATAAGACATGTGCCTTGCCACCGAGAGCCATAGCCAAAGCATCAGAAGCCTCGAGCTTGTAGTCATTGACGTCGATGCCCAGAGCATCTTCACACAGAAGAACAAGAATCCCTTCTTGAGCGTAGTTGCGATCCTTGTTGGCAGAGCTTGCATCATGGATGCACATGAGCCTCAGAGGTCCTTGAAGGAAGCGGTAGTGGAGGCCCAGGTTGATGTAATCACTGTGCTTGGCTTTCTGGACCACACGATTTGCCATGCGAAGATGTTCGATCCTCGCCTTGGTGACTTGTGACTGTAGCAAGGCCACCTCGGAAATCAAGTCCAGCCTCGTCGCGGTGAGCCACAACAGGCCACCCAATATCGAGCGGAAGCTCGTGAGCTCAGTAGGTGTCAAAGACTCGTGGTCCTTCTTGTCCTCCGAGATGACAACCTCACTCAACTTCTCAGCAAAGTGCGTCTGTGTCATCTTATAGCCATCCTCGGTACGCTCGTAGCGACAACCACAGTGGTCGAACGGCATGACCTGTCTGGTTACACTGCCAAACTCCTTGACCAACAGGTTGTAAAGCCACGTGAGGAAGGCCTTCATAGCAGCCGTGGCCAAGTCGTCCACGTGCGTTGAGACCAGTGCCTTCAGTTTGTTCTCGGGAGGCGGAGTCTTCCAGATGAACAAATTCTCATCCATCAGCGAAGGAAACCCACCGTTCTTCCGTAGAAATTCATGAAGACATAGCTGCCATGCAAGTGGCGCGTCGTTCAGCCCATACACTGGCTTGTCACACGCCAGTCCAAAAGCTGCAAAGTCCGCACCAACATCGAAGCTTGGATCAGCTTGTGCCAGGTGTCTCCACACGTTGGCCGGTGGTATCACCACCACTTTCCGAATTGGAGAGACAATCCCCTTGGATCTCAAGACCTGCCTGACCTTCTCAAACGTAAAGCCTTTCAAGAACGCACCGGAAACATCGAATGACTCACAGTCCATTTCATTGCTCGCAGCAGTGGAGAGCACGATGCGCTGGGACAGCCGTGTAGCCGTAGTGCTTCGTGTAGTAAGGTGTTCCCGATGAGGATCGAAGCACCCTCTGGCACACAGTCGACTCTTGACGACCAGGGTGTCGCCCTTTCGCTTCCATTTTCTCACCCATGTCGCGTCGATCACCACGGTGTCCTCAGACAGGGTGTTCAGAAGAACCTTGCGGAAGCTCTTGGTCTCGATGAATTGCACCAGCTCCTTCTTGTCCGCTTCCTCAACCTGGTCCCATATGGGGTAGACTTCATCTTCCGTGATATTATCCGTATCGGTGTCCACCTTGAAGGATGAGCCGTCTTGAAGGTCCACCAGGAAGGAGGAATATGCCTTCCCCGGCCATGACACCAACGTTTTGCCCACGACCGGAGACTCTGCGGAGAAGGTGGTGTAGAGGCATTTGTCCATGTAAGCATCGAGCAGGGAGAAGATGGGCATGTTGCACGCTGTCACAAGCTGTTCCGGGAAGCCCGTCTTGTACTTTCTGCTCCGAGATGCCATCCAGTTGTACTGCGCCATGTAGTCCTCAGCATTTTGATCAACATTGGATAGCGCAGCAATCACAAGTGCCTCTGTCCTCTGTTTCTTGCTCTCAGACCCGATCGTCACTGTGCGAGACTCTGGCCCCTTGCGCTTGTAGTCAATCAAGTCCGTGGTATCCATGGCGGGTTCCATAGTTTCCAGCTCCATGGGCACAGTCGGAATCTGCGTAGGCGATGCATCCACCAGGATAGGTTGCCGAGGTTCTTCCTCCACATGGTTGTAGAAGTAGAGGTAGAGAAAGCACAGGTCATCCACTGGGAATGGCACCATGTCCTTGAACTTGATGGTCGAAGACTCCCAGTGCTCTTGCGTGGCATACTGTGTCGCACCGAGGGACCAAAACACGAGGACTCCCACGCTGTGCGGAGGAGGTCGTAGGTGACGTACTCCTTGTCCAAAAGCAATGCCACCGAAGGGCCTGTCGCTGAAGTGCCTGGCAACCTTTTTCGCCTTGTCCATGGTGTCCTCGTAGTGCGGAAAGAGTGATGAGGATCTCCTCCAGGAATGCTTGCCTCCACCAGCATCCAAGATCCAGCCCACCGTGGAAACCTTGTATGGACGCTGTTCTTCAGCTGTTGATCGCAGTTGTCGAAGAGCATCTTGAACATCATCAGGAAACACCGCGAAGCTTGTGTTCTGTTCTCGTGGGGCCGCAAATGACGCAGTCCCACAAGATAGGGCCTGCCTTGATATTGAACGATCGCGTTGCCTTCTGAAGCATCCACCTTCAGGAACTCGGCTGGCCCTCGCCATCCAACATCACCGGCAACTTCACGATATATGTCAACTTGTGATGTACCTGGAACCAACTTGTTGAGGTCCAGTTGGTGAGTCCTTGTCCTGTTGGCGCGAGCCACTCTGTCCTCTGCAATTGCTTGTTGTATGCATGACATAGAGGTTTGGCGTACCCGAAGGGCTCGTTCAAATTGAGACAGGTCAGTCTGGAGTGCACCGGCATCGGACATGACGTTGTCTGTAGCCACGTCGAAAAATGGCCGAGGTAGCACTCCAAGCACAGCCATCGCGGGGGTCACGCCCCCGAAATTTAACGAGAGGTTCTGCGACATAGCAGCCTCCCGAGCAAGTTCGTCCACTTCTGCAACCAAGCCCTGTCGGTTGAGCTCGCTGGAAAGCTTGCGCATAGCGAGCTCCGTGAGCGCCACATGACGTTCCACCAATCCAGTGCCGGTGTGTTGCTTCCCCGCTGCGCCACTGGTGGTCCCGCGAGGGCAGCGGGTGATTCCGAAACGCTCCAAGTCGGCGCTAGCCTCATGTGACATTATCGACGACTCCTGATCAGCCACCAGATTGGCTGGTGGCCCAAAGTACATCATCCACGTGTTCAGGAGCACGCGCGTCAGCTCCTTCCAGCCGCGGTCTGCGACCAGAAACGCAATCTTGTAGCGAGTCGCCTCATCCACCATCAAACACACCCATTTTCCAGAATACTGGAAGAGGTCCAGTTGCACCCGATCGTTGAACACGTT